GTAGAATGTACTGTGGTGATTAAGAGCTTGAATTTGGGCGCAAATTCTGGCTCTACAACTTCCATGCACCCCCACGAAAGTCACTTAGCTACTTTATTCTTCAGCATTTTCAACTATAAAATGGGGGTAATTACGTTCCTACCTCATTGACTTATTGTTAAAAACTCAATGTTAAGCACTCAAATTCTTGCTAATATTTATTGGACAATTTGATTGATCAAGGCACAAAGTACATACAGAAAAGTAGATGAAGTTCACCCCATTAAAGAGTTTACTACAGTGTTGTTGAGGAAATATGCATGTGAGACACAACCAACTGCCTGGGAACTCAAAGTAAGACAGGTTTTATTAGAGTTCAGAGGAGAGAACGATCACTCCTATGTGGGAGGCACACAGAATTAATAAAGCTAGAAGAAACAATAGAAAGGGAAAGATGTCTTCACTGGGAGGGAAGGACCACAAGAATGAAGGCTCAAAGCTACATCCAACATATCTCTACTGCTTGGTTGAGTGGTTGACCAGTGAAGACTGCTGGTAGCAGGCAGATGGGTCCAGAATGTATAAAATGGACTGGATATAGAAGATCCTCCTCCTTTTTCTCTCTACTTATTTTTCCTCTAATGTGATGACTGCTACCTGCTCCCAGGACATTTTGCTCAAATGGTCTTCAAACTCACAAGGATAAGAATGTCCCTCCAGTCTATACAAAAGGGAGAAACAGGACTGATAAGGAAGGAAGAACATGTTTATCTATAAATCCACAATCTGATGGAAGAACTATTCTGCAGAACATTTGGTGAGGTTAAAAGAGAAAGAAAAGCAGCCCATCAGTTTGATTGTTGTGGGAACCTTCTACCAGCCAAACAGATGGAGGCTGAGGCTGATCCGTTGATACTATACCAATGGCAAAACTGGAAAAGGCAATAGGAGGTGACCATCTCAGCTTCTGCTGGCTAATTGGGCTAAAAACAACCCAGTACCTTTCAGCCTATTTTTGTCACTTTTCAGAATACAACAAATAAATTGCTGTATTGGATTTATCACCAACCATTAAGAAAGAATGACTTTATGGTGTGGAAGATGGAGGAGCCTTTGATGACAACAGTCCTGAAAGTTGTCATCAAAGTCATCAACAGTCCTGAAAGTCCCAATCTCTTGGAAGTTTTTTTTAACTTATATGAGAACATGTTTAGATTTAGAACACTATTACACGTGTAGTGAGAGAATTCTTATATAACTCATACCAGTTTCCCTATCTTTATCTTATATTAGTACATACATTTGTCACAATTCATCAACTGATTTTGATATACTACTGTTTTGCTATTTTCCGTAATGTCCTTTTTTTTTTTTTTTTTGGTGGTTGCTCTTGTTCCAGGATCCTATCTGGAATACCATGTTATATTTGTCATTAGATTTGTCATGTCTACTTAGGCTCCTCTTGGTTATGACAGTTTCACAGATTTGCCTTGGTTTTGATGACCTTGACAATTTTGAGAATTACTGTCCAGTGTTTTTTTAGAAAGTCCCTCGCTTGGGATTTGTCTCATGTTTTTCTCATCATTAGACTGGAGTAATGTACCCAGGAGTGTTTGGGGGACATCATATCAAGGGTAAAACTATCGTATCACATCACATCGTATCAAGGGTAATACTATTAATATGACTGATCACTGTTGATGCTGATCTTTATCATCTGGCTGAAGTATTATTTGTCAGGTTTCTCCACTGTAAAGTTATTCTTTTTATTCCCTTCTCTTTTTATTCAGTAGTCTTTGGAAGGAAGTCACTCTTTTTAGCCCACATAGAAAGAGTGGAGTATCCTTTAGGGTGAAGTATCTATAAAAATTATGTGCAATTATTCTGCATGAAAAATTTGTTATTCTCCCCATTTATTTACTCATTCAATCATTTATTTATATCATTATGGACTCATATATTTTATACTTTGAGTTATAATCCAGATACTGCTTCATTTTCTTGCTCATGTTGTTCCAGCTTTAGGTCATTTTTTGCCTCCTCTTGCAGTTGGCTCCTGTAATCCTTGAAATACTCTTGTCATTTTGGGGCTTTGTTTGCTTGCTGGCTTGCTTTGTAGCACCTTCTTACTTTCTGGCACTACAAGATGCTCTTAGCTCACTTGTATACCACTTGTATTTCCTGTCTCAGATCTCTCAGAATTTGTAACTATGAAGAAAAAAACTCCAGTCAAAGACATATTACCAGGGCTTTAGGAGAGCAGATTTAAAAACATTCAATGAAAATAAATCAGATCTCACAGCTTTTTAGGGATATGTAATTCAGAAGGGATGAGAGTTTCTGAAAAGTGAAATCCTGATTAGACAAATATGATGAAACTTCATGAGAGATACAAGGAAATAGAATCTAAGGGAACCCATGTGGCTTCAGAGGACACTTTATGATTAATTTGTATTTTAAAAAGACATGCACAGAAGATGAAGAAAGAACTTATGATTGAACTAAGTTTCTAAAAATATCACCAAAAGTTACTTAGCTGCTGGTTTGTGAAAATGATTATATCACTCTACTAAATGAAGTTATTTGGTTTGCCTATAAAGCAGCTATATTAAAATGGGTACTCTTGTCATTTCTCTGAAGTAATCTCTGATCATCATTCATTTACTCAATGAATTTTCAGTTGCCCACTGTGTGAATTTTTTTTCTTTTTTCTTTTTTTTTGAGATGGAGTCTCGCTTTGTTCCTCATGCTAGAGTGCAGTGGCATGATTTTAGCTCACTGCAACTTTCCTGGGCTCAGGCAATTCCCCTGCCTCAGCCTCCCAAGTAGCTGAGATTACAGACACCTACCACCACCCCTGGCTAGTTTTTGTATTTTTAGTAGAGACAGGGTTTCACCATGTTGGCTAGGCTGATCTCGAACTCCTGACCTCAAGTGATCTGCCTGCCTCGGCCTCCCAAAGTGCTGGAATTACAGGCGTGAGCCACCACACCTGGCCTACTGTGTGAATTTTAATGCCCATTATGTGAACTCTTAGGCTCTGGGGATGCACAGTGGTAGATTTTTGGAGCTACCAAAATCTGTGCTCTCTTGGAGTTTATATTTGAATTATATATTTTATATATATATTATTTATTTGTGGGCTTTTTTTTTTTGAGACACAGTCTTGCTCTGTTGCCCAGGTTGGAGTGCAATGGTGTGATCTCAGCTCACTGAAACCTCTGCCTCCCAGGTTCAAGCTATTCTCGTGCCTTAGCCTCCCAACTAGCTGGGATTACAGGCATGTGCCACCACAACCAGCTAATGTTTTGTATTTTTAGTAGAGATGGGGTTTAGCCATGTTGGCCAAGCTGGTCTCGAACTCCTGGCCTCAAGTGATCTGCCCGCATCAGCCTCCAAAAGTGCTGGGATTACAAGCGTGAGCCACCGCGCCTGGCCATGAATACATATTTTAAATATGACAATAATACATGCTTTGGAGAAAGGTAAAGCAGGATAAGGGAGTCGGGGGTTCTGAGGTGGGGTGATGGGACTATTTATATACGGCAGTTGAGGAAAGCCCCATTGCTAAGGTGGCATTTGAGCAGAGACAGGGAGGAAGCAAGGGAATGAGCCATGTGCATACCACTAAGAAGAGTATTTCAGGCAGAGGGAACAGACAGTGCAAAAGCCTGAAGCAGGAATGGCTTGGAACACTCCAGGAATAGCAGGTTGGTCCATGAGCCTGGAGCGGGGTCAGCCAGGTAGTGAGATGGAGTGAGTGAGGACAAACACGTTTGGGCAGGTGGTGTCTGGGATGGAATCACGGAAAGTGCGTGTGAGTGGCTGTCGTGGGAGCTGTGTACTGCTGTGGAGTTGGGCTGTGGAGGTCCTTGTGAGAACTTGAGGAGCTATTGGAGGCTTTTGAGCAGAGGAATAGGGTCATCTGATTTCGTATTTGAAAAGGACCACTCTGGCCACTCTGAATGTTGCAAAAGTAGAAAGACCAGTTAAAAAGTCTTTTACTCTACTAGTATATTCTGTCTTAATCTATTAATCTTGATCTATTTGTATGCATATTTCACATGTAGTAATTGTGTACATACAGTTTTGCCATCTGTGTATTTTAACATTTTTCTTCTGTTGCTCTGTAGTCCTCAGGTTTATAACATTCAGTGGCTGCGTAATAGTTTGTGTATAGTCTCCTACTGCTGCTGTAAAACTTACCACACATGGAATGACTTAAAAGGATACAAATTTATTTTCTCACAGTTCTGGAGGTCAGAGTCCTAAAATCAAGGTGTTGGCAGAGCTGCACTCCTTTTGGAGGCTCTAGGGGAGAATCCGTTTCCTTGCTTCTTCCACCTTGTAGAATCCACCCTCACTCCTTGACTCGTGGCTCCTCACTCCATCTTTAAAGCCAGCAGCATCTTCAAACCTTACCTACCCCTCTGCCTCTGCTTCAATCACCACATCTCCTATTCTGAACCTCCTGTCTTCCTCTTCTATACACTTTGGTGATTACATTAGGTCCATTTGGATAATCCAGGATAATCTCCCCATTTTGAGACACTTAATTTAATTACATCTAGAAGATTCCTTTTACCATATATTCACAAGTTCTGGGGATTAGGATGTGAACATCTTTGGGGACATTATTCAGCCTACCACAGCTGATGTTTTATAGTTTACTTAAACATTTCCATTATTGAATACTTAGAAGGCATCCAGTCTGGGGCCATTTTGATATTCCTATACTTCCTATATTTATATACTTTGACCTTCTTTTCTTTCACATTGTGTCTCTTAAGATAAATATCCAAGTTTAGGTTTCCTGGAACAAAGAGCATGAACATCTTTTTTTTTTTTTTTTTTTTTTTAAACGGAGTCTCGATCTGTTGCCCAGGCTGGAGTGCAGTGGCCGGATCTCAGCTCACTGCAAGCTCCGCCTCCTGGGTTTACGCCATGCTCCTGCCTCAGCCTCCCGAGTAGCTGGGACTACAGGTGCCCGCCACCTCGCCCGGCTAGTTTTTTGTATTTTTTTAGTAGAGACGGGGTTTCACCGTGTTAGCCAGGATGCTCTTGATGAGCATGAACATCTTATGTATTTGCTTCCAAATACAGTTACATTATTGGATGTCCATTTCCCTACAGCCTCACTAGGTTAGCTTTCTATCTCTTAAAGGTGTGTTTCCAGTTTGTTACAAAATGACATTTTATTGGTGTGTTTATTTTATTTCCTTAATGGTTAGGTTGAACCTTTTTGGAGTGTGCATGGGGGCATATGTCATTTGTATTTTGAGAATAGTGTTGTGTTTATTTTGCTTTTTAGTTGTATCTGGAGCTAGAAGAATGGAGACAGCATTAGACTGTTGCTTAAATAAGGGCATAAGGCTGGCATGAATAGATGACATACGCAGAACTATATTGCTTTCAATTCTCCATCAAAGGAAATTATTTCCAAAATGAAAAGGGTGTTACTAAAAGGGATTTGGATGACAGTGAAAGAAAATCCAGGTAATTTGAATGCATTTACCTCTCTGGGACACACTGGATTGTATCTCAGGGTTAGCAGAGTTGAAGGAGTTAGCAGACATCATCTTTGAGCCATTGCTGGTGATTGTTGAGTGAACTTGGAGAGTGGCAGAGGTTCCAGAAGACCAGAGATATGCAAATGTTGTTCTATGTAGCTTTTGACAAAGTTGAATTCCTAAAACTTTCAATGTATGAAATGCACCCTTGCAAAATTTCTGGACTACCATCATATGAATTATTTAGTAGTCTAGAGAAGAGAAGAGATTGCATTGATCCTTAGGAACCAGCATAAATCTAGTAATGTGTAGTGACCAGTTGTCACATTTTCTTTTATAAAAGGGGCTTCTGTATTGGAAGATAATGCCAAAGACATCAAAGCATTTGACAAATATTTCTCGCCGTTCTCCTTAAGGACATAATAGAGAGATGTTTGGAGGATGACAGAATAATGCAATAAATTCATAGCTGATTCTATTCATATGCCATAACATAGGTAATGACTGAGTGTTTGTTGGCCTAGAAAGAGGTTTCCAGTGGCAGGTATTTAGGGTTTTCTTGGCCCCAAACTGAAGAAGGGTCCTTAGAACTTGTATAGAAATCTTAAAAATTCATATTTATGTGGCTAATGATATAAACCTATAGAATAAATCTTCATAATATGAACTATGAAAATAGGCCAACACCAACTAAATACATTTAACAGAAATAATGAGAACTTCTAAAATGAGGTTGTATTTAGAATTGAAACAACAGTTGATTTTCTTTATTTTTGGCCTTCTTGAATTTCACCAATTACAAATAAAAACAATAACATTTGTATAGTGAAAATGACTTTTTAAGGTTAATTCGTGTATGGTAGGAGAATGCTGGGTCCACCTACATATGGTTGCTGTGAGAGCATGCTATAATAAAGAATTGCTGGACTGAAAGGAAAAGATGTGAGTACTGTTCCTGTCACCACCATAAACTAGTTGTCATCTTGGGCCAGCAGCTGGCATCACCTTTCTTGGGTCTGCATATTATCATCTGAAAGCTGGAGATGACAAGAGGTGGGGTGAAGTTAATCACTTTGCCCCATTCCCGCTCTCATGTGATATCAGGCAGTACAACTTGATTCTCATGTCCCTTGGCGAGTTTGGCCAAATTTCTAGACTCTTAAATGGACCCTTCCAGATATTTCTAGCTTAAACAGACCCTTTCAGGCCTTCTCTGAGAAGGGGCCTCTTTTCTTTTAATCTGCAAGTTCCTTCAGATCACCCTTCTTCAGGATCATATTAAACTATCCACAAATTGCAATGCTTCATTTCAAGTTTCAAACAGTGTACTTGAGCCCACTTTGATCTCAGGAAGGTCAACATTTTTTTTTCCTTTTTGGGGGGCTCAGGCCCATGCCTTGACATTTCTGGATGAGCCTATAGCCTCTTCACCGGCCAAAAATGTTCCCCATGGCTTTACCATGGGGTCTGGCCTTCAGTTTCTCCATTCTCCATCAGCCGACCCTGAATCTTGGCCACCATCAGCATTTGATCATCGACTGTTTCTCTAGCTTCTTTCCCAGCACCACTATTTTGATTCCGTTGTAATCTTTATGACCATTTAATTTTGAATTTTTAAACTTCATATTTTATTTTCCTATTTTGTATCTTCACATTATAATTTGTAAAGGAGTTTAAAGTATTTCCTGTGCCTCAATTTACTCTTGCTTAGTCTGATTTTCCCCTTATCAGTCCTCAAATATCATCAACTCTTTATTTTCTGCTCTTATGGGACACAACATTTGTACATCTTCATACAACCTAGCCTTTGGCTTCTTTTGTCTATATACTTGGATTAACCTCTCAGAGTTGGAGATCTTTGACTGAGGGATGTAGTAGTATAGTTCTTGATCCATTTTGGGTACCTTTATTTTGACTGACAAAGACAAGAGGCCATGTTAGCACATTATATTCTTTCCTTAAAACTTTAAAATATTTAAGAAGTCAGCATTTATATTTAAACATAAATTTCAGCCTCCTTCTTAGGGCTTCCCTTAATACCACAGTAATTTTGGTTGGAGGAATATTTTGTAGCCTGTGATATCTCAGATTGCAATACTTCTCTGCCTCCTGTTTCCTGCACTTCTCCTCTAGCTCCTTCCACTGAGAATTCTCCCCAGGCAGCATTTTCATGCTTTCAGTGCTCATTTCAGGCGCTTTCTTCTCTGCTGTGCCTATGCATGCTTGAGGCTTTGTCCTAAACTCATGTGACCTGCATAGCTAATTTCAGGTTTTCAGTCTAGGCTTACTATTGCTGAACCCAAGAGACTGACGTATTGCCCAGACTCCTGCACGCTGTCTGCCAGCCACAGGTACATCCTGGGGTCATGTATTATGCTCCTGGTTAGCACATTGGGCAGGAAACAAGCTACCCATTGTGGCTGTGACCAGGTGTAGAGTCTCTTTGCTTATATGAAAAACAGTTCTTTGACCTCACTACCTGCGGCCTGTCCTTCCTGCTGCTGTGTCCTTGATAGGCCAGCTCCCCACCCTTTGCCTAGAAAGCATTCCCAATCCCTACCAGTAAGATAAATGGAGCAAAACAGGAAGCCACTTCTGTGCGGCCCAAGGCTCTGCTATACATGTGTTTGCATCCAATGTCTGAATTTTCTCCATGAAGAAATGGAAGATCTTGGGACAAATCTTTTGGTAAGATTTAGATATTGCATAGCTCCTAACAAGGCTTTATAAATAGAAGTACTTAAAGCCTTTGGGACATGGATACTTTCAGAAAGTGTTTTTAGTTTATCTCATTTCTATACATGTTTTTGGGCTGACTAAATGTTAAGTAGTTCTAATACAGTATGGTACAATGGGTCTCTTCAGTCTCTTGGGTTCAATGGAAGTTACGTGGCTGTTATATGTGTAGTTCACAACAGTAGAAGACAGAAATAACCTATGTCTTCTCTATAATCACAGAGATACCTAGCATGAGGACAGAGATGCCTTTTAATATATTTTTCCCGTGAAGCTCTCTGATAGTGGTCTTCTAGGCAATGCAGGAGTTCAAACTTCATAACTACGACTCTGGTTCAGTAGCTCTGATGAAATCACTGGAGCTCCTTTAGCAACTGAATTGTTTGCATGTCATAAAATTATGATATGCTTCAAAGGCAAATATTTATTTAGTGAGAAATGTAGGTGTGCACAGTAAGGCTTGCGCCTTCCTCATGGCGTATTTCCTTATGAAGTTTATTAGTCTCTGACTCTAGGCAACGTGATATTATGGGAGTGGCACAGACCATAAATGTCACAAGATCTGAGCTCAAGCCATGATGTAGCTAGTTATCCTCGAGTTGTAAGACTTCAGGCTCAGAAGCCAGTCGGTGTGCCAGGGGTGTTTTACCTACAAACCTGAGAGGGATTGGGGGAAGTTTTAGATCAGGTCATTTCTAAGAAATCTTTTAGCTTTAAAATCTCAAATTAGTATTTCTAAATGCCATTTTACCCACTTTTATATAATTACCCATTTAACCAGACTTAGAAAATTATGAAGAAAAAATATATACTCTTTCATTCCCTAACACAGATAAAATCATTGTTCATGTTCTGGAGCATTAGCTTCCTTTTTTCTGAGCAGATATATCTAAGAAAGCCTAAAACAGTGTGTGTACATGCATTTCAAAAATTGGAATCATATATTTTTTCATAAATTGATTTTTGTTTCATTTAACATTATCCCATGTCATCTGAGTAGGACTTAGAGTTTTTGTCCAAAACTAGATTTCCTTGGTCACTTTTGCAGTTTCTTTGAAATTTTCCGTATTGAAGACAATGTTATGCACTCTCCAAACTAAGCACCCTTGGCTTCTGAATGTGCTGTAAGTACAGTCAGTTGGTTTCATTCCAGAGAACAAGCAGTAGAAATATCCCAGAGCACTCTGCCTTCTTGCTGTCACTGCATAGATAGAGACTGCCATGGCCAGGGGTCAAGGTGGAGGATGAGGGGTGACCCCTAAAAAATGACATTAGCATGTGACCAAACAGTATCTCGAATTGTCTTGAAAGCCCACCAATCCATTGTGGAATGACCTTTACAAATAGTTTTGCTTGTGTACAACCAGATGAGATGGGGCTGACTCTGAGCAAGGGGATAAAGAAGGGAAACTTGGTAACCAAGCCTGTTCTTTCTGTTCTCTGCCTCCCTCCTTCATGCCTCACCTCTTCTTCTCTTTGGCATTTATCTTCACACTCTCTAGCCCCCCAGTTATCACTTTCTTCTCCATTGGCCCATTGCATTTTGTTCATGCTGCTGATAGAGCCCTTATCACGTATTACTAATTGGAAGATTTGGGTGGTAGTTGTTGGGGGTGGGGAGAAGCAGGGTAGGTTATCATGACCCTACTCATAAGAAGTTTATGTCTCCTCACTTCTATATGAGTTTCAGAATTGGAAGATAATCTTAGCTAAGGTTAGAAGAACATGTGAAGCTGAAATATTACTGAATATTTAAAAATTGTTTTCCACTATTATTTGTTTCCTTGCATGTGGTTTCAGTGACATTATGGGTTACATTGGTTTTGGTGGCCTTGCTTGGAATTTCAACACCAGAGAGCCTATATTAAGAAATCCTACATTTAGTGGGAAGTTTTACTACATCACTGGATGTACTATAAGGTCATCTGGTTTCTGATTCTTAAGTTCTATAATTTGTAGCACTGTTTCCATGGGAAAGTGCATTCCAAGTTCTAAACAGCTGAGTTTTGGATCTCAGCTCCTTTGAGAGTTGTGGACCACTCAGACACAAAATTATCTTTAAATATACAGATAGGTGTATGTAATTTGTGTTGTATGTAGAACTAACCACCATTTGAGCCCTTATTATGTGTCAAGGGGTATAATAAGAGCCTTCATACATCACTTGTTCCCCTCCTCACCGTGATTCTTTGAGGTAGGCATTATTATCTCCATTTTACAGATGAGGAAGCCAAGGCCCAGCAGAGCTGAGATGTGACTGCAGAGCCGTCCAACCCGAGTCCTCTGACCTTTCTCTGTGCCTGATACCTCTCAGCATTTGAGGGCCTTTTCTCTTTCTGCTTCATCTCCAAAGGTCCTTCTAGGAGAGAGGTGAAAGGTAATTCTTTTGAAAATACATATTTTAAAGCAATATTATTCCCTTTGAGATACCCTTTGATTCCCTTTGATGGAGCCCAATACCATGCTGGATCTTTGCTGTGTCTGAGTGGTGTGAATGGGCATCTATGGGGGTGGCCTCAGGAGCCTGTAGAAAGAGGTACCCCAGGAAAATTTTTTACACAAAAGAACACTATAGCATCTGACTACAAGATTCAAATAAACACACTCAAAATGGTCTGTAGAGAATAGAGTGGTCGACAGTGATGGATAGCAGGTTTCTCTCTTTTTCAAAACAGATTTAATTATAGTGTTCACACAAATCTAACTGAAAATATGAGCCTGAATGTTCATTTGTTCACTCACTTATCAGCTATCAGACTTTGAATGAACCCACATATATATCAGATTTTGTACTAGGCCCCAGGAGGGTACAAAAGTGGATGAAACATAGTCCCTGTCTTCAAGAAGCTTGGAACCTAGTGGGGAGCAGGCCCAGAAACCTTCAGATCCTCTGATGTGCATTTTAAAAATAGCCCAAATACCAAAACTGGTTGTTTTTTTTTTTTGAAACAGGGATGTCATTCTGTCACCCAGGCTAGAGTGGTGCAACTATAGCTTACTGCAGCCTTGACCTTCCAGGCTCAAGCAATCCTCCTGCCTCAGCCTCCTGAGTAGCTGGGACTACATTTGCATGCCACCATGCCTGGCTAATTTTTTATTCTAGTGTAAAGTTAGGGCTATGTGCCCAGTCTGGTTTCAAACTCCTGGGCTCAAGTGATCGTCCTGCCTTAGCCTCCCAAACTGTTGGGATTACAGGCATGAGCCAGGCTTGGCCCAAAATGTCTTTTAATGTCAGCTTTGAATGAGCTTTCATAAGAACAGTGTATATGTGTGAGGAGAAATCCCTGTCACATGGTGTTGATTTGGTAAGCAATATTTCCAATATCAGAAAGACTTGGTCAGTATGTTAATTTGCTAAAACCCACTGGCATATAAGGATGCTGTGGCGGTTGACTTTTCCACATTTGCTTAACCAAAGTGCCAGTTTACTGAAGATGAATTCCATGTCATGTTTTACTGCCCTGCATGTGTTAAGACTTGCTTTTCATGACACTAAGACAATGGGAGATTGAATGGGTGGAGTTAAAGAGGCCCCTGGCCTTTCATTGATTCTCCTTGGGTTTCCTGCTGAGTATGGGTTGAGGCTCTGGCCTTCTCAACTGGGTGCCAGATGAATGTACTGGGAATCCTGTTAGGGTGACATCTAAGAAGAAGACTCATAAGGCACAATATTGGGAAGTCAATCAGAGCTTGTTTCAGGAGGATCAGAGCTGAGCTTGGTGGAGGTTCCTGGTGATAGGGATTCCTTCCTGAAACAATTTGTCTTCCTGAAAAAGGAGGAAGGTGTAAGAACGAGAACCACTGATGTATGCAGGAGGTCCGTAGCCTCAGTTGCCATAGATACTGAAGGCTCTGCATGGCCTGGCCAAGGATGGACCGTGTTACAAGGTGTACCCACAAACCACAGTGATCTTCATCCTCAAGCTGGGGCATGCCGGGCCTCATTTTTGGAAAGTACATTTTCCATGAGATGTGCTAGCACAATGGGGTTCTATGTATAATCTGCCTTGAACAAATAGGTTTCATGGGAGGCCATCAGAAAACAACTTCATCAAGTCTCCTATTCTCCCATTAATATTTATACAGTGGAAAGCATTTCCCCTGTTTTTTGGATGAAAACATATCACGTGGCTATTCTGATTCCTCATATATAATAAAAAACCCCACTTTAATTTGCCAGATACTTAAAATGTCTAGTATCATGGGATAGTTAAAGCTTCCAACTTCATTCATATTTATAACTGCTCCCCTTCCCCTGGCTAGGGCCTGTTGCAGGGAGAGGGGGCTGTGGTTGGAGGCTTTTTCTCTTGCTTACTCAGTAGCTATGATTTCTGGACTGGGGTTAGGGGCTGGGTGGGAAACAGGAAGGAGTGTAGGAAAGCTTTTACTTGGCAGGCGGTATCATAGGAGAGCTTTTTTTGTGTTGTGGGTGTTTAGAGTTGATTCTTTCACTTGTGGAGCCTTTTATGGGTTCTTTGGAGATACCCTCTCACCTTGTCTCTGGGGGCCTCTCACTTCCAGTTTCCTTGTTGGGGCTGCTACACTCTCTTCAGCCTAATTGCAGACTCCTTCCACAGTCTCTAGAAAGCCCACCAATCCATTCGTACTCCTGTCTGCTGGGTTCTATTGCTGTCCAGGTGGCCCTTGTTGGGAAGATCCTATTATATGCGCTGTACATATGCTCATGGTGTGGTCCATGGGAAACACTCACACTTCCTTTGTTCCCACCAACTGGGAGAGGGCAGGCTGCTCCCAGGGCAGCTGTCATTTCCTTTGGCTTATCCGTCAGCATCCAGCCAGCTCTCCAGTTCTTCAGATTTCTTAAGCAGAAGTCCCAAACAAGGTCACAGTGCCTTCCATATCGTAACAGCCTCATGCTCTCCAGGTAGTCCTGTTGAGCCCCCTCACTAGGCTGGAAAGGGGAGAAGCAGGGAGGGGCAGGTACTCTTATCTCTTCCTAAGCTTAGTCCTTTAGGCTAGGACCAGACTGGACTGCAGCCTGCTTGCTTCAAACATTCTCTCCTTTTAGCCACCAACAAACAGTCCAGCCTACTTGTAGCCTCACTGTAGATAAGAGGTTTAAGACCAGTGAAAAAGGTTTTGGGCTATGTTCTTTGAAAAACTACATCTAGGCCTGGCACTTCACTTTGGAATCTGGTATCTCATCCATCTTTGTGGCTTGTTTGACACTTCCCATTTTGACGTTCTGTAATACCTTCTTGGGAAGCAGGGCTTATCCTTAGCTCTTCGAGATGCACATGACACACAGCATAGAAAAGGCTCTTGGGAGTAGATAGGAGTGTCCACTTCACTCCAGCCTCTTCCTCTCCTGCCCTCCATCCTGCTCCAGGACCTGTGCTCCACCTGAATCTTCCACCCAGGAAGCTCCCTCTCTGCTGCCTGCTCCTGCTCTGTGTTGCCAGCTGCTTCTGTTCCTTTAGGATTCGTAAATGTTCCTTCCTTAGTAAAGACTTCTTTGCTCAAACCCCACCTAAGTAGATCTCCCCTAATGTTCTGTTTTCTCTTACTGCAATTCCCTTTATCTCCCTCACAGTACATCTTATATTATAAATGATAATGTTTCCAAATAAATTATACAAGCTATTTAGTGTCTTACTCTCGCACCAAATGGTAAGCCCCATAAAGGAAAATTCATGTCTGTTTTATTCGGTAATAGAAACCTAACCAGTGCTCACTAAATATATGTTGAATAAATGAATGAAAGCATGAACTAAAAAGTTACCTTTGTTTAAGCTGCTCTTTTTCGAGACACAGTCTTGCTCTATCACCCAGGCTGGAGTGCAGTGGTGTGATCTTGGCTCACTGCAACCTCTACCTGCTGAGTTCACGCTACTCTTGTGCCTCAGCTTCCTGAGAAGCTAGGACTACAGGCATGCATCACCATGCCTGGCTAATTTTTGTATTTTTAGTAGAGATTGGGTTTTGCTATGTTGGCCAGGCTGGTCTTGAACTTCTGGCCTCAAGTGGTCCACCCACCTTGGCGTCCCAAAATGTGTTAACTCTTAACAAACAGATTCTTAGTTATATGGCATACACAGAGTTTTGGAAGTACTGAGACAAGGCTTAATTTTTGGTATATTTTTCTGTTCATTATCATCTCCCCTCACCCCTTTCTCCTCTCTCTGTCTCACTTTCTCTTTCACTCTGGCTCTTTTTCTCTCACTCTCTTCTAGCAAGAATTTAGTTTGAGGCAAGGAGAGCAGAGGTGCTACCCCGTTTTACAGATACCCACACTAAGGAGAGTTAGCTGTGAGATAACTTTATCTAAGGGGTTAATGGCAAGCATGGCCCAGAGCTCAGCACTTCCATCTCTCTTCTGGTCTTGTCCTCTTTGTGCCTCTCCTGCAGTCCTTCATGTCCAGCTGTCCTCTGGCCTTGCAGCAAGGCCTGGCTTACCACTTCCAGATCCTGCCGAGGTGGCAGCAGCCTGGCCTCAGGCTGGAATGGAAAGACTAGTTCCTAGCCCAGAATCTATCTTGCATGGTACACAGCAAGAGAAATTCTCTTCAAGATGCAGCCCCATGAAAGCAACATGTTTATAGGTAGTAGATCCCCAAAGTTGTCATAGCCTCCCTCCACCCCCTCACACCAGACCTGTCCCTGCCCTCGGCCCACACAGTTGGGGGTTCACGGGCTATGGGAATGTCTTTCTCCTTAGGAATAGAAGCTGGATTCTGAAGGAAGGCATTGGACTTGAACTAGGCTTCCCTCTCATTCTTTCCCTGCCTACTCCATAGACGGTCCTAACTCTGGCCACAAGTCAGAGAATTTCACATTCCTCCCTTAACAAGTTTTACTCCATATAAGGCCCTGGGGGCAGTCTAGACTCCCTGGGCGACTACTTGGGTGTACTTGCTTCAGGAGGAGGAGGAGGAGGAGGCTTATCTCGTATATGCACATTCTTCTGGTGTGTCCTATCTGGTTATTATCAAATCGAAACTGCAGCAGTTGAAGTTTGTTGCTTAATTACTGTCTGTTGATTGTAAAATAATAGACCACGAATTTTGTTGGTTAGTTATTACTGGTGCGTTGTTATAAAGTACACACTGTAACATGGCAGTGTTTTCCTTTGTGCTGTCTTTTTGATGAGTATTGTTATTTACACTCATAATAATGCCTTGCATTCGAAATATGCTTCAGAGTTAACACAGCACTTTTATTTTATTATCTCATCTGGCTCTGTTATAAGGAAATACAAGTAGGCAACTAATTTTAGGAGAGTGGGGAGGTAAAATTTTTATTCCAGATATTACTTTACTATAAATTTTGGCATAATATAGCTTCTTTTTACAGCAAGTACTTATTGCTTTAGTTAAAAAATTAGAAGTGAATTTTAAAATTGTATAACTTGCTGTT